TACGGTGGAACATACTTCAAGAAACTCATCCAAATGCTTGTAAGGTTCTTCATTTGGAAATCTATGATAGTTAGGAAGCATTTGACTGGTTTATAGCTTAATTTCATAGTGGTGTGCTCTAAATGGTGGCAATTGAATGCATGTGGGTGCATTATATTCATTAAGCACATAATGATCTCTTAAAGCAAGGGGAGGATTAGCAATTAGAGGTGCAACATGGGCACCTTGGTTGCCTTGAATGATGGGAAGTGGTGGAGTATAGATTGGCCTTGGCATTCCCAATGGAACTTGGCTTTGTTGTTGTGGTGGATGAACATATGGCCTTGGCATGCCTAATGGCACTTGCATGTTATCATGATGTACATTGGGGTGGAGAATACCTTGTTGGTCTATGTGACCAAGGTCTTCTACATGGTCCTCATTGTGTCCTTCCATTGATGAAATGGATTGACTAGAACTACCTCTCCCCCTAGGGTTTCGAACAATGGATTCAAGATGAAAATTTAAAGGGATAAGAGTGGGTCTCAATGATCTACGACCATGCATGCACAATGCAACACAACAAGCAATAACAACAAACACTTCACCTTCACAACAAATCAATAATTAACAAACTTCCTCCACATTCAATGTTCATACTCCCATGCTTAAACAAAAATGCAAGAAAAGTAAATTGCCTCCACGTGGGCTCACGATTTATCTAAGAATTAGTCTACACGCGGGCCGATGATTTAACTAAGGGCTTGAGTAAAGAAAAGCTCACAAAGGTCCTTTAGCACTTCAACTCCAAATTTATAGCTTAGCTTAGCAATTTTTTTTAATTTTTAGCCTTTTTCTTTGCTTGCTTAGCTCCTTTGCTTGCTTCCTAACTCAATGCTCCTTGTCAATCAAGAACAAACACAATAAGTAACAAAAATTGAAAACAAAGTAAAGACACGATCAAAGGAGTACTAATTCCAAATTGATTCCACAAATACGACGTTGCCAATCAATCAATCCCCGGCAATGGCGCCAAAATTTGACGACGGCCGTTCCTATACGCCAAAATAATATAGTGAATATGCGGTTCAAAAAAAGCCTTTTAGATCAAGTTTAAATTTACAAAAACCACTACTAACACTACTACTAACGTAGCAAGAGTGAGTATGGATCGTCCCAAGGGATTGTGAGGGTCGCACTAGTTTGAGGAATCAAGATTATGATTAGTAGGTCGAATAATCAAAATAGTGGTTGGTTGGTTGAATTAAACTAGATGCAAATTAAACTAAAGTAAACAATAGTGCAATAGAGAGAATAAAAGATAGAGAGAGATCTTGGGGTTTAGAGATCACCACTAAGCATAGCTTTTCTATACCTTTGAAGAATGATTAATGAGGGGAAGAACATGTTTTGCAATAAAGTGTGTATGTGTGGTTGTTCCAACAAGCATGGATGACAAATTAAGCATATATTGTCTAAACAATATGGTGGATAGCACAACATATCAAATTAAGCCATTAATCATTTCTTTAAGCTCACAATCCAAACACATCACAAGGTTAAAGATACATGTTACTTGTTTTTCATAAGTATGGAACATCAACAACAAGCATGGATTGTCCTCCTATTTAACAACTACACTACAATCAAACTAATGGCATGAAATTAAACTAATTAAACTAAGGGAGAGGCACAATCCATCAAGCAATGAGTATGAACCATCAAATAAACCATAAGAACATGACATTAAGCACTATGTCTTGACAATCTCTAGATTTATAGCATCAACACACATAGACATGCATCAATAACACAAGAAATAGAGACAAACACATGAACATCTATTCTAGCATACATAGACATATAGATAGAATGAAATGAACAATTGGAAGCATTAAATCACATAAATCATTGAAGAAACAAGATCTATATATATATAAGTGTCAAGACATGAATTACAATACAAATCCCCTCAAAATACATAAATCAAGAAGTAGAAAGCAAGCTTAGGGCTAACTCTAGCCCCAAGAGGATGTCTAGCCACTCATGGATTATGTCCTCCAACCCTCAAGGGCAAGCGCCATGGAAGAAATCTGCTCCTTGGTTGATGAAAAGTCTCCAATGGTGTCTCTAGCCTCCTCCTCTTCTTTTCTTCCTTACTAAGAGTAGCTTCTCTCTAATCTCTAAGAATGTTAATCACCCTCTTAAAAAGTGTATCATATTTTTTATATAGGTAGGTCAAGTGACACACAAAATGAGCTGGGGTCGTGCAGCAAATATTCCCCAATGATTGGATAAGGACAGCTTACAATGAGCTGAAAATTTAACTTTTTCGCACTGGAGGAAGTTCGATCGATCGAACCTTGGACTTAAATCGATCGAACATGGCTGAGATCTATCGAACTGAAGTTGGATCGATCCTCAATGGCGGCGCCTTTTTGGATAAAAACAAATCTGAGATATTTTGAAGATATTTTTGGGAAAAGGATAAAAGTGGTTGGTAGGGTGATACAACTGGATAAGATCAATCATTTGGATAAAGATAAGAATGTTCGATCGATCGAAGAAGGAAGTTAGATCGATCGAACTTTGAGATCTTTGTTCAGAGATAATCATGGCTCAGATCCATCTTGAAGTATTGAGATTGATGTAAGTTGGATCGATCGAACTTTTCTTAAGATCAATCGAAGTTGCTGAAATTCCACCTTTTACTTCCTTTTGTTCTACTTTGCTCCTTTCTTTGATTCATCCCAGAATTGCTTCAAATATGCTCTTATTTGGCTAAGTTAGCTTATTTTGGGGATAAGTACCTGAAAATGGAAATAACACGAAATCAATACAAAACGGTAAAATAAAGTAGATAAAGGTTCTAGAATACCTAAGCTTAAGGGGTTTAAATAAGCACTTTTCAGCGATCATCATATATCTTGTTATTCTCATTGTGGTTGACATGTAAGCAAGCGTATATTGTTGATATAAGGGAGTAAGAACCAAGTTCAAGTCTGTATTGAAGCTTAATTCCAATTTTACCCTTCAGACCACAAATTCTGCAGAAACTTGTGAAGAACTTGTTTTGGTTTATACTTTGAGCTATATATTCACTCTAATCTTGTGTAATAGCTCAAGTATATTTGTTATACATATTTCATTATGTATTTGATGAGTTATGAGAGCTTATTTGGTCCAAGTAGGGGTATTTAGGACAAGGTAAATTTGTGAGAACATATTATGAGCTAGGGTGTGTGCAAAGTGAGAGACAACTAAGTGTGTATCTACTTGTAACGCAACTAGTGGATTTTGCATTAGGAGTGTACCCAAAAAACCAAGGTTTTTGATCCCTATTGAGAGGGGCTAACCTTGTAAAAACCTGGTATACATGTGGCTGTGGTTTTGAATCAAACATTTGTGACAGATTAGGGTTTTAAAACCCTAGTGATATCTGCAAGCACTCCTTACAAGTTGTGGTGATTATTTTAGTTGTGAAAAGTGTTTAAAACCCTAAAAGAAAGTGGAAGAACCAATTCCCCCTCTCCCTCTTGGTTCATTAGTTATTTTACCAAATTGCTTTCTCAATTGAATCCACGTGTTACATTATGATTATATGCTCATCAGCATATCAACCTTCCGTTAGAATTGGCCACAACAACTTTCCATTGGAAAGTGACCGATAATTATGGTGCAAATAGATATAGGCGTAGCCCTTTTAATAAGCCACGTGTTCAATTTTGATTGATTTTTTGCTGAAGTCTCTTGAAAATAGTAATTTCTATTGAAAAGTTATAATAGACAACCCATCACCTTTCCATTGGAATCGACCAGTGCAATCTTCCAATGGAAAGTGGTTGATAATTATGGTATTAACATGACATTAATGTTGTGTTATGTATGCAAGAATGGAATGGAATGCAAGTGAGAGTGGAATGAAATAGGATGGTCATTCTTATTTTATTGTTTGATTGCAAATTGTTGGCATCAAAGCATGACAGCCACCTCAGTGATGGCATGGATGAATTAAATAACAACAAGTGGCATTGATATGATGCCATAAGATTGGCCACTTTGGCAACAATGAGGAACAGTGGACTACATATGGGGTTGCTATAATTATGGAGATATGGTTGTCAAGTTTACAAAAGAGGTTGCTACAATTAAGGAAGCTAGAGTTAATTTCTTAAAAAAAAAATTAAGGAAGCTAAAGTTGACTAATTGAAGAGGACTAAGTGTAAACAAATGAGCCTTATGAAAGCAATTGAAGACCCAAAAGGAAGTAAGTTTATTTAAGCAAGCCCAATCAACTACAAACTAGTTGACTAAATTTAAATTCAATCGGAGAGAATCAAGGAGAAAAGATTCTGTAACAGTAACGAATTCTATAAATACATAGGGTTGTGTTCCTTTCCAAGAGGTCCAGCTCATGTCAACTTTCTTTTCTTGTATTTTAATTCTATTGGCAATTCCATTTGAGGGCTAAATTGCCACCCCTGCCCGTCAAGACCTCCAGACGTAACAATATGTGAAGCTTAAGGCTTTGCTCTGTGCCTCCGTTACCGAATTTGAAACTGTTTCAACGGTTGTCATCCTTTTGAAAATGAATGCTAGTTGGGCATGGGCTTATTCCCATCATGGTTTGGTTTTATTACTGTATCTCTAGTAAGCCATGGGCTAGCTGTGTGTAAAACTTTACATTTATATACATACACATCAACTTTTACCTTTTAAACAAACAAACAAACAGGAAAAGAGGAAGGCTCATGCACAAAACAATTAGTAAAAGTGTGTGTGTGTGTGTGTGTGTGTGAGAGAGAGAGAGAGAGATCAAGACATTGGAGCCATTTGCATAATGGCCATTTTCTGAAATTGGAAACTGGTAAAGGTTGCCATCAAGAGAATTGGCCTTCAAACTTTGCAGTATTTTATTAGTACTCGGCCCCACTGAAATTCAAAGGTTTGAAATGCTTTGGCAATAATCCCGGACTCATATGCGTCACTTGGAAAAAGTAAAGACAAGCACTAGACACCAAAAGTTGCACAGAGAGTCAAAGAAACTACAATTTATAATGTTACATACTCCAAATCTACTTCACAATACCAGTAATAGAGTCCTATCTTCTCTTGGTGGTAACCATTTCATCTTCACTTTTCCACTGTTTGACTAAACGTACCGACTAATTCAAGCCCACCAGTTTAGCTTCATGATCATCCAGAGGACTTGGAAGGACACATGAGAGATTCCTATTTCCCTCTCCTGAGTAAATTGCACTGTCTCTGCAATTAAGTTACTATATATATATATATATATGGCTTCAAGAGTGGAAAATGTTAGTACTGCTAGGCAAGCAATGGAAATGGATTCAGGAGAGAAGCGACTCAATGAGCTTGGATACAAGCAAGAACTTAGAAGAGAGATGGTTTTATAATCTTCCAACTTCTACTACTATCTAGTCATAATTTTCCAAAGGAGATCTAAATCCATTCATTATTAATTTTTTTTTTTTCCCTGCAGAGTTTTTTCAAGACACTTGCAATTACATTCTCTGCCATGGCAGTGTTCACTGGAACTCCTCTATATGGGCCAAGCCTCCTTTATGCAGGTCCTGCAAGCTTAATATGGGGATGGATTGTAGTTACATTCTTCACCTGGTTTGTTGGGATTGCTATGGCTGAAATATGCTCCTCTTTCCCAGTATGTTTCATTTTCTTCTCTCTTCTTTTCCTTTAGCAGACAATGGTCTTGTCACGACGATAAAGTCGCTCCATCATAACCACCTGGAAGTCATGCGTTCGAAATAAAAAATAGTCGCTCCGCATGCGAGGTAAGGATGCATACACATACATATGATCCCTCTCCAGACCCTGCAGTGGCAGGGTTCTCATGCACAGAGATAGCCCATCTTTTCGAGCTCTAACTCCTGCAATCCAAATGCAAAAGCTGTCATATATAACTTCGATGGTCACAAATTTTGAGAATAAACACCTCACTAATGGAATTGAAAACCATTTTAGTTCAAACTTCAAACTAATCATAATTCCAGGACATGAATTACCTTTAACTGCAGATCACAGCATATAAACTACTTGTAATTTATGAATATCCTGAAAAGATGCAAAAACTTGTATTTAGTTTAGTTGCAGACCAGTGCCAGAAATATTCAGTATCTTCAAAATAACAGATCATCCTATAAGAAAACATCCACAATCTATGTATATATAGTACAAGTATATCAAAGTCTACACCTTAATTTGATCCTTCGCCAATTTTATGCTCGGATTTCTCTCTTTTAAGTAAAGTTCATTTATATATCAAAGTCTACACCTTACCTCCCATTCACGATTCTGATTTTTGGATTGACATTTTAATTGATTGTTAACCAACTTTAGAATCTTCACTAAGCTTTAGAGATCAGCTCTGCCCATTTAACTGTCTATAAAACTGCATTTTGTCGCCCCTGGTTGGTGTTTTCTTTCGAAGGTTTACTAAAATGGATATGATACTTGGTTGTTTAAAACATCAAACAGACCACTGGTTCTCTTTACTTTTGGGCTGCTCACTTGGCTGGACCCAGGTGGGGGCCATTTGCATCATGGTGCTGTGCTTGGCTCGAGACCATAGGTCTCATTTCTGGAATTAGTGCTCAGGTAATGTAACTTCCTTCTACCATACCATTTTTTAACTCCATGTTCCTGTGTGTGTGTGTGTGTGTGTGTGTGTGTGTGGGTAAAGAGCTTATTGTATGTCCACTAAATTTTTTGCTTATTGTATATCCACTTAATACACACACACAACACACAATGGCAGGCATATTCAGGATCACAAGCAGTGCAATTTATTATTCTATTGTCCACTGGAACAAACAAGGGTGGAGGTTACTTTGCACCTCGGAGCATATTCCTGCTTATGTATACGGTCATAATCATTATATGGGCAATACTCAATTCATTCGCCTTGCAAGTTATTGCATACCTCAACATAATTTCCATATGGTGGCAGGTAATATTTTACATTCTATTCCATGTCACCTGATAGTTTATCCAAATTTTAGGGCTACAAGTGAACAATACATTTCATGCTAACCTATTCCTATTGGTTTGTTTAAACTTTGTTTGTTAAACAAGTACGATTCCAAACAATCTTGTTCAACAGTTCAACTATGTTTAAAGGAGATTAAGTCAAGCTTCACAACTTCAAACATGCATAGAACAAACAGCAATTTTTCAGAAGCCAAGCACAAACAGCCGAACATTGTGATCTTAAAAGCTCTAATTTGCATGGAAAAACATACCATAAAGTATGTGAATTAATTTGACCTGAACATGCAGGTAGTTGGCGGCTTGGTAGTCATCATAATGCTTCCCTTGGTAGCCCAGACAACACAACCAGCCTCCTATGTGTTCACTCATTTTGAAACGTCTCCAGAGCACACAGGCATAAGCAACAAACCTTATGCAGTCATTATGTCAGTACTCCTGAGCAACTACTGTCTGTATGGCTATGACACCGCTGCCCATTTAACCGAAGAAACAAAAGGTGCCGATAGAACTGGTCCTACTGCAATTCTGTCTACCATCGGCATTATCTCTGTGTTTGGGTGGGCGTACAACTTAGCTCTTACTTTCAGCATCCAGGTACCATTGAATTGCTACTGTTTCTGCATTGTATTATGCAGGAATGTACTAACTTAACAAGACATTGTTTTGTAATGTAGGATCCAAAATATTTGTATGATGAAAACAACGAAACAGCCGGAGCACTTGTGCCAGCACAGATAATCTATGACGCATTCTATGGGAGGTATCAAAATTCCACTGGAGCTGTAGTTTTCCTCTGCATTATCTGGGGATCCTTCTTCTTTTGTGGGCTCTCTGTCACCACCAGTGCTGCCAGAGTAGTAAGTAAATCTCTCCCCTCTTCTCCCTCCCTCACAGGATGTTTGGCTAACTAATATTAATTAGGGGCCAATAATTTTATATGAAGGAAAAAAAATTCTGCCCCATGTTTTCTGGGTACGCCAAGAAATAAAAAGAATATATGATCCATTAGAATTTGGGATTCAATATTGAACCTCTTTCTGCATACCTGTTTACAAAGTGCAAGCTTCCCACTATGGCACAACTATTATCCTGTGTAACAGACATGAATTCCCACTTCTTCTCTGACCAAAAACTAAAAATAAACCTCACATCTGCAATTCTTCTCTCAGTAGTTCCAACTTGTGCAGTTGTCAATCTGAAATTGTGTTCAAATAAGAACATATATCCCGTCTCGTGTATTCCATGTTCTAATATTTTGGTTATTTGGAACTTGGTTTTTCTCCTCTTCCTAGGTTTATGCTTTATCTAGGGACAAAGGAATTCCATTTTCATCGATCTGGAGAAGAATTCACCCGAAGCACAAGGTTCCAGTAAATGCTGTGTGGCTCTGTGCAGCCATCTCCATCATTCTTGGACTGCCCATCTTGAAACTCAATGTGATCTTTTCTGCCATAATTTCCATAAGTACAGTTGGATGGGTAGGTGGCTATGCAGTCCCAATTTTTGCAAGGATGGTCATGGCTGAGGAGAACTTCAAACCAGGGCCCTTTTACTTGGGTAAAGCAAGAAGGCCCATTTGCTTGGTAGCTTTCTTGTGGATATGTTACACCTGCTCAGCCTTCTTATTGCCAACTCTCTATCCCATCACATGGGATACTTTCAACTATGCGCCTGTAGCTCTCGCTGCAGCTTTGGCATTGATAATGCTTTGGTGGGTTCTGGATGCAAGGAAATGGTTCAAGGGACCTGTAAGGAACATCGATATACAGAATGGAAATATTTGAAAATTTATCTGGAATGAAACTGAAACAAAAGATGTATCAGAATAGTTTCTCATTAATGAGTCGTAAAATTTAAGAGGCAAAAAATATGGCTAAATTAAACTCACACCCCCGAGGTTTGTCCTAATTACACTTAGTGGTCGAAAATGGCCTAAATTACACTGACCCCTTCAGTGACATTAATCAGCTTACCGTGTCAATTTTTATGAAATGTCATATTCGCCCCTTATCAAATAAGCCATTTTTTAAGAACAAATTTTACAAGTGAAAGGACTAAAACACCCCCTTAATAATATTAATTCACATAACCCCACCCCCTCTCTCAACCGCACGCCACCTACCCTCTCTCTCTCTCTCTACTCCACCACCACCCTCCTCCACTCCTTTCTCTCCCTCTCCACTTACCACCACCCACCCTCTCTCTATCTCCATAGCTTCATTTTCAACCTCAAGTTGACAAACAAATAAATAGACCCACCATCCACTAAAATTCCATCGTTGCTGGAAATGTTTGTTGTAATTGTTTATGGTTATAAACTACCAGAACACTCCCATGGGATCAATTCAAAAAGGAAAAATTACCTAAATACGCAAATGAAATCAATTTGAAAAGGAAAAACTACCACAATTTTCACTTAGCATTCAAAAATGCTTCAATCAGACGACTCTGGGTTAATTACCCCTTCTCTTTTGTCATCAGCTCCATCAAAATAAAACTAATTTTTACTGAAAACTCATAATACCCTATGGTAGCAGCAATTTTGCCTTGGCTCCACTGTCTCAAACAACCCTCAAACTCCTCACCTCAAACCCTCTGAATTGTAAACCTAACCTATAATAATAATACCCTCATGGTTGTTTCATTGTCATGGTTGCGTACGTGTGGGCGGATATACCAAACGAAGCCTAATAGTGTTGCAGATAGATGACTTTTTTCAACTTGCATGAATTTGAACCAGCCATTGTGATACCCTTGATAGCCAGGTCCAGGGATGCATTGGTGTTACTTATCTGGGCATTTTATGCAGAAATCTATGTTGCAGCTCTGTGCTAGATCACTGTTTGCAGAGTCTAGGTACAAATACACCAGATCAATGGTCATGATGTTATCTGAAATCGATTTTTTTTGTGTGGGAACCAGATATGGTGTAACACCAGAGATGGAATGCATTCAGTGTGTCATACACAAATATATATATATATATATATATATATATATATATATATAATCTGTTTATATAGGTGGGGGAGGCTGTGGTGGTGGGTAGTGGTGCATTTTGATTATATACCCAAGAGTGGGTTTTGGAGAGAGAAATATGTTTTAGGTCTTTTTTTAATTTTACACTACCTTATAAGGCTAGTATGGTCTTTTTATACAAGTAAAGGGCAATTCAGTCATTACATAAATATTTCTTGACGGTTTTAATGGCATGAGGGTCATTGAGCACATGTGCCAAACCTGAGTTGAGAGCGGTATAATTAAGGCCATTTTTTACCACCGTGTGTAATTAGAGCAAGCCTCAGAGGGTGGCAATGTAATTTACCCAAAAAATATATAACAAGAATAAGGTATACTGTTCATTAATTTTTTTCATATACGAAATTAAATTAATATTGGAGAACATAAAGTGGATAATTTGTAAAAATGATTAGTGCTGCAATTGTTATTGAGGTGATTGCATAATGCTCCAAAACAGCTGAAACCGCCTGGTAAGAATAACACTTCAGGATTAGCAATTAATGTAGGCAAAGTGGGGGTTTGATCAAAGATGGGATAATGATGGAGTTAAATAAACGGAGGCTAAGTGGTGGTGGGTTTAGATGGCAGTGTTGGTTGCCATTGTTGGAGTTAATTTGGTTTGGTTAGAGAGGGAGTGCATTGTGAAATTGGGTGGCAAAGGCAGCAATCAGATGATGCAGGGTTGAAGATTGTGATGTGCGGTAGCAGGTCTTGACCAAAATGGTGATAGATTCAGAGGTGAGTTTCAGTTGAAGCATAATGTAGGCTTGTTAGAGAGGTCTAGAGAGAAGGGTAAGACTGGGTGGTGGTGGCAGTTATATGGGAGGTGAAAATGATGGTGGCTTTATGGTGGTTGGTGATTGATGGTGTTGGTATAGAGAAAGAATCTAGAGACAAGGAGAAGAAAGAGGAAACAGAAGGATAAAAGTGAAATTATTTGTGCGCACGATTAGAATAATAAATGAGGTGAGATGGGGATCATTTCACTAAAAACTAGAGACAACTATAAGGTTTCAAATTATTCACTTAAAAGACCCATCGATTTATCAAGAAATCATTTCTAGAACCATCCTTTTTTTCTGAAAAAAACTTCAGCATGACCCAATTCTTGTAGAGGGCCTTCAATGTAAAAATCCTCCCCACCACCCTCATAAAACAAACCAAATGTCACCTCTGTAGGACTTTTATCCGTGGCAATCAGCTGACAGAAAAGACTTTTGCTCCTTTTGTGGAAGCAACACATGACCCTTTTCTTCTGGGGAAGATGTAACTATTCAAGATAACGAGTTTCTGAACCAGACAAGCATTAACTGTTCAGTAAATTTATAATTGAATGTGCACAGTTAACTGCTTACCTTCCGTATAGATAGATAAGCACCACAACCTTCTTTCTTGTTTACTTGAAGCGATATAGTAGTCTGAACTCGAAAAATGGACCTTTTAAAAGATGATCGTTATCCTGTAACATTAAGTCATTCTGCCAGGCACACAGAGAATTTTAATTATAGTAATTATGATATATCCCTTGCACAAACCTAGAAAGGGGAGAAAAAGGTAGCAGCGTCAATACCTCTCCATTGGATACAAAACAAGATCAACTTGATTAATTCCCAAGATAGAGATCTACACCACCAAGACAAAACCAAGTGTTTTTAAGTAACTATCCAGTCCAAATGCAAGACTAACACCTGCTGCAGGACAATAGTTATTTAGAATCCCAAAGTCATCCTGCTAATCAAAGAATGGTTATATATAATGGCTATGACGCGCGCGCGCGGGGGGAGGGGGCGGGGGAGAATATATATAATAGCCTCTCTTTTGATGCTAAGGAAACAAACTAATGAACAATGACATGCCTATATATGAATTCAAAGTTCACAAGGAGCAAATCATAGATTCCATCTGAAAGAGACAAGTCACTTTAAAGACATAAGCAGAAGCAAATATATACTTTTCATTGCATCTGTTCTGGTTCTATGACAAATACACTTCCTGGGACTCCATCGGAGATGACCAGTACCGCAAGAGTGATTCAACAGTTACTCTCCGAGTTGCACTGAGCATTGAGATGAAAAAACGACACCCATCAATTTTGTATTCCTCAAGTGGATTCCTGTGCCCAAAACTCCTCACATTCACCTAGAACAAACTCAACATAAGCTTTTGCCTATTGGAAAACAGTGTAAAGATTGTAATCAACAAAATTATAAAGCATACCGCTGAACTGAGCCTGTTCATATTTACAAGATGATCCCTCCAGAAACAATCTAGAGTCTTCACAAGAACTGCTCTCTGGATTTCAACAAGGTACATAATATTAATTATATATGAAATAAATAATAATAAAACATTATATAAAGTGCTCATCGCTCCACCAGAACAAATCAATAAGGTACGCAGAAAAATAAACTTCCCAGGGCCAGTAAAACAATAACCAGTCAACCTTCCACTACTGTAATACATGATTGGAAGATTTACATGGGCAGACAATCTGAAAATGGAACAATTAAATATCCCATCCTCCTCTTTGAGGATCACAGCACTAATCACTTGAATGAGAAATATTGAACAGCAAGTCTTAAGTTGCAAATCTCTGAATTCAGACCTCAATGGCTTTAAAACCACAAAACTGGAATATCCAAATGTTTTATAATTCTTTGATTCTCAATAAAAGCGCATAATATCTTGTGAGTTTGCGTTGCACCAAGAATCTTAATGGCTTTAAATCAATAAAATTTGAGTATCCAAATGTTTTATAATTCTTTGATTATCAGTAAAATTCCATAATATCTTGTGAGTTTGGGTTGCACCAAGGCTTTTGCATGATAGTAAGTAATGCAATCTTGTGCCAGTGAACTTCCTTGTGGAAAGCAAGTTTTTAAGTTCACAGTCAGAGAACACAATAAAGGATCTTACCTCTATTTCCTTCACATAGGCATCATCATAACCAGATTCTTGTACAACATCCAAATATGAAGCAATTAAAAAATCTCCAAGATATTTGCGGAGAAGATTAGTGGTTACTCGGTACCTTCCTTCTCTGCATTAGACATCATCTCCCACAACTCATAAGATTGAACATAAGAACTAAAAGAATTGATTATATACAATGTCAATTCATTAAGATTCACGCACTTAATTGAATCATCATAGCATATGCCAAGCCAGCGTTTCAATGAAGAACTCTTCTTGCGGATTCCCCTGAAGGAGTTTGGAGGCTTCGGCAAATTTGGGAGGCAAAAATCATTGATGTTTACAGAATTCATTTCATGAAGTCGTGCAAGTGATTTCAGTAAAGCTTCCTCAGTAATCCCTGAAAATGAGTCTGGAGAAATTCTATTTTTGAGGATTAAAATTATCATATGAAATGTCATTCAAACTCTTTTACCAATAATTTGCAACTTAGAATGACGGAAACAAATAGTGATTCTGAACTAGCTTACCATCCAATATCTTTCCTGCAATTCCATTGAACTCCTTCAATAGCTTGCCCAAACTCCAGCTGCTTGGATGCTATAAATTTGAAAGAAAGAAATAAACAATTGGGACATGTAGACAACAGAATAAAGCAATATGGAAGGATATTTTTACTACCTTAAGTGGATTAACATTTTTAAAAGTAATTTCATCCACCACTGCTTGCATGTACCTATAGGCAATGCATACAAATATTTATAATACGAAGATGTAACTGATAGTGATAATGGTTAGAAACTTAGAACTAACTCACTAGAATATAAAAGTTCCATTAAAAACAATTGAACCTGCACGTCATATGGACCAGAAATTGTTTTAAACATAGACTATATGGAGAAAAATATATATATGGCTAAACTTAAATCTCCTTTAGTCCTTTTCATATACATCCAAACTGGAACTTATCAATATACACATACAAAGCAAGCATGACGTGAACACAAGGACATACTGATTGAGCAAGTAAAGGTAGCTGAGAAATCCACATACCGATATTGTTATGACAAACGCCGACAACCAAGAACAGATCATGAATCACGACAGAAAAGTAAACATGCCACACAAAAAGTACACAAAGATTTACGTGGTTTGGCGAAAGTTATAGTTGTTAAAGGCGCCGGAGGCGCGCGCCTAAGGCGCCACCTTGGCGCCTTGAAAGACTTAAGGCGAGGCACTTTAGCTAGGCGAGCCCCTTTGAGGAAAAGGCGCAGTACAAGCGCGCCTATATGAAAATTTGTTTTTTTTTACTATTATTTGTTTATTTGTTTATTTTTAGTTTTTATTTGTTTATTACAAAACTTATAAATGCAAGCAGCAAGTTACAAAGCAAAAAAAAAAAAAAAAAAAAAAAAAAAAGAGAACAAAAAAAAGCAAAAAGCAAAAGGAAAGAAGAGACAGAGAACTAGAGAAGTACGAGACGTCAAGATCTGCGAAGTGTGAAGCGCCGAAGCTCAGATCTGCCGGATCTGTGTCTCTGCCGGTAAGTTCTTGCTTCTTGCTTCTTCTTCTCTACTTCTCTCCTTCTTGCTTCTTCTTCTCTTCTCGGTAATTTTTTTTTTTCTTTTTTTTCTCTCTTTTCTTCTTCTTTTCTTCTTCAGTTCTTCTTCTCCTCTCGGCTCTCTCTCTCTCGAGTCTAGTCTCTTGCTCCTTTTATTTATTTTTTTTTTTTTATTCTTCTTTGAGCCGAGTCTAAGACTCTAGCTCTTCTTTTATTTTTATTTTTTATTTTTTTCTATTCTTCTTCTCTCGGCTCTCTCTGCTCTTCTTCTTTTTATTTTATTTTATTTATATATATATTTTTTTGTGGTTTAAAAGAATTCTATTCTTTTTTATACCTATTATATCCTAACTATTTTTTTTTTCCATTATTAAATCTCAACTAATAAAGAAAGTAATAGTGGGGCTAAAATAAAAGTTCTACTAACTTATAACTCTTCAAAATAGTAATTATAATGTTTGATTGTTTATTTATATTTTTTTATCTTTACAGGTTTTCTATTCTCAGTTTGCAGTTTTCAAATGTGATGTTTACAATTTTCTGTTTTCTTGGGTTCAAATGTGATGTTTATTTACATCCAATTTTGTAGATGTTATGCAATTTCATTTTCTCTTGTTGCTGTATTACAAAAATTGTTGTTTGCATATTAATGTTATTCATCTATTCTGTGGTGACTGGTGAGGGAAAATTTTATTGATATATATATATATATTCTGTGCTGAGAAAAAAAAAAAAAATTAATACAAACTTTTGGCATTATATATACAAATAAAGTTATCAATTATTAATATTAAAAAAGGGCAAAATCCTATAAAGAAAATAAAAAAATCCTAAATATCAAGTTTTGACAACTTGCTCCTCTTATTTTAATTGGCAATAAACCCCATTGAATTTACCCACACATTTCTTATTCACCCCTAGAATAATTTTTATCTGCAAGTGTGTGTATATAAATGTATGTTGTTATACATCTCCTGCCAGCAGCCCGTATCCATCTTTATCTTGATATGTGAGTGTATAGACCATAGAGTACACCATCTTTGTCATTTAGTTGCCTTTTGCATCTTTATATATACTATTGCATCTTTAATACTTTATTAGGTGGGTTTTGTTTTTTTTTTTTTTCAACGTGCACCTTGCTTCAGTTGGGCGCGCGCCTCGCCTTGCGCCTTAGGCTGCAGGAGGCATTTGCGCTTTTGTGCGCCTTGAGCCTTTAACAACTATGAGTCACATCCATTTAACTTGTTCTATATGAACTCCCAAATTGACGCTTTGTTTGATTGTTTCTATTATGCTCCTTACTCTGATTCTCTCAATCACATAGACTATGGTAGTATATGAAAAACACCTAGACTGGTCATCAAAGTTCTCTCTCTCTGAAAGACATAAATTCTATCAATAAAATTTAAAGAGTTAAAAAGACCTGAGAGAGATACCCTAAACTAGCTATAATTCCATATTTGTAGTCAATATAGGAGTCCTATTCCGTAATAGGAAAGCAGATCTTTAAAAATAATAATAATAATAATAAATTGTTTTAAGAGAGTTTTCGAATAAGTGTTTCCGCAAAAGTCGACCAATTCCCTAGCATTGCTTCGATCAATCAAGCTTTCAATCAAGCTCCACCATCCAGGTTCAGCTCATTCAATCTCAAGCCATTCTAGACTTCAATAAATTGTTCTAGAATTTTTTTATTGATCTAGACAGACTTCTATTGAACCTTCTATTTTGTGAAAATTTTCATGTTTCAAATTTTCATTTGATCTCTTTAAAATAATTTATGACCAAAACCCTTGAGAACCATACAGGACCAAACCCTAGGCTCTGAATAGAGTAGCACAAGGCCATTATCTAGGCCTACAGAGAGGAGGGGAGGGGGCGTGAATAGGTCTTGAAACAAAGCTTGACTAACTTTAACCAATTTTAAAATTATAACTAATTTTACAGCAATTTAAGAATCAAACTAACTAATAGGAATTTACTAATCCAACCACAAAGTAAATCATGTGTGTGGAATATTAAAGCAGTATTGAAAAACAATCAAACAAGAACACCAGATTTTTAGTGAAAACCCCAAATGGGAAAAATCAAGCGACCCAGCAGGTTAAAAAAAAAAAAAAAAATCTACTACTGAGAAAGAGGTTATAGACTGTTTTTTTTTTTTTTAAGTAATAAATATATTAGAAAAGCATTCAAAAGGGGAACGCGTCCCTAATACACAAAACAAAAAACATAAGGACCAATAGAGTCCAATAGATCAAATAAATCATCAATTGAGGAGCAAGCGCTTCCTCTTACATAACAGAAAAGAGAACAAAGAATATGAGTTTTTAAATTTAATAGAGACGATTCCTTCCCTTTAAAATTTCTGTTATTTCTCTCTCCAAATACACCACCAAACATAGTGTGGGACAATCCTCCAAAAATCACGGGCATGACCTTTGACTGGGCATCTTCTCCATGCGTTAATCAGTTGAATGAAGTGCTTAAGCATCACCCACTGAACGCCAAAAATACTGAAAATGAGATTCCAACAATCGTACACCATAGGACAATGCATAAGAATGTGATCCACGGACTCACCATCTGTTTTACATAGGCAACACCAATGTCAAAATCTTTCCCCAGGTGGCAGTCCAAACAAAGAATGCGACTCTAAGAGAAGCGTTAGAGCGCCATATAGACTTCCATGGGAAATCTTGGCCAGCAAAATTGGAGAAACACAAGAACATGGATCGGACACCACATCTACCATGAGTGGAAGGGACCAACAAATATCATCACAACCTCTGCCAACATCCTTTTGACTATACAACAGATCCAAAAAAACGCACGCTTCTGCCATCTCCCAATTCTGAAAAGAATGCCTAAAACGCATATCTCACGTAACCCCACTGCTATCAAGTTGATAACAGTCAACTACATAAGCGTGCTTATTCTCGGCAATACTGTAAAGACAAGGAAAGGAATGAGATAACAACTGATCACCACACCATAAGTCTTTCCAAAATCGAACATGCCGACCATTACGAACCTTGAATCTAATGTGGGTGGAAAACACATCCCAACCCTTCCGAATTAATTTCTACACTTCCCAACATCCTTTTGTCTATACAATAGATCCAAAAAAACGCACGCTTCTGCCATCTCCCAATCCTGAAAAGAATGCCTAAAACGCATATCTCATGTAACCCCACTGCTATCAAGTTGATAACAGTCAACTACGTAAGCGTGCTTATTCTCAAAATCGAACATGCCTACCATTACGAACCTTGAATCTAATGTGGGTGGAAAACACATCCCAACCCTTCCGAATTAATTTCTACACGCCAACGCCTCCTGTAATAGAGACAGGACGAGAGGACCAGCCCCCACTCTCCTCCCCAAAGCGACACGAAACAACTCTTCTCCATTGTCAATGACGCTCTTTACCGAACCTCCATAACCACTTTCCCAATAAAGCTCTATTGAAAGGGACCAGCTTTCGAATGCCTAAACCGCCTAATTTCAAAGGTTTGCAAACTTACCCCCAATTAACAAGATGATACTTGAACTCCTCTCCTCTTCAACCCCAAAGAAAAAAGTAGGTGGGAAAGGACGAGAGGGTACTCTTAATAAGAGTGGCCTCCCCCCCCCCCCCCCCCCCCCGCCCCCGGGCGAAAGATACTGTTTTTTCCATCCTGCCAATCTCTTTTCATACCTGTTAATCACCGGATCCCAACTCCCCACTCTCCTAGAGGAAACTCTCAAAGGCAATCCCAAATAAGGAATTGGATAAGCACCCACTCCACACCCAAGAACTGCAGCTAAGGAGGAAATATCTGGAACATCCCCCACTGGGACAAGCACTCTCTTTCCAACATTAATCTTAAGTTCGGACACCGCTTGGAAACAAGCAAGAATGCACCTCAAATATTTGAGTTGGGAAACATCGGCATCACAAAAAACCAAGGTATCGTCCGCAAACAACAAATGGGAGATCTCCATCTGATGAGCAACATCTCTACCGACTTTGAACCCCCTGATGTAACCCAGATCCTCCGCTCTTTTCATTAATCTGCTCAATCCCTCCATGTCAATAAGGAATAAAAAAGACGATAAGGGGTCTCCTTGCCTCAAACCGCGCAAGCTCGCAAAAAAACCAGCAGGAGATCCGTTCACAAGCACAGAGAACA